ATAAATATTTAAATCTATTTTACACTTTATTTAATTGGTTTTTCATAAAGAATATACCATACAGGAAGATAAGGAATAGATCTTAGCGCAGTTTTGAGGGATTTAGTAAATTTTTTTTTTTAAATTTTTGACTTAACATAAAAACAATCTACAAGCTAAAATCGGTGCAAGATTTTAAAGGCACACATAGTGAAACTTAAATTTGAACCGTGATTCAGCCCGTGATTTTTATCTCTTTTTATCAATTTGCAAACATTTATGAAGCTATGAATGATTTGACTTTATTCTCACTTTTTCTCGAGTCATTCCCACGCTCAGCGTTAGTTAAACAGTCTGTTTTATAAGTATGGCAACACTGGATTTGGCCCCAAGGCACAGCTGCCTCATTTATCTAATTCATGTTGACTATTTGACAGTTCACGTGCACCTGGCAATCAATCAACGGATCCATTATCAAGCTCAGCTTGTACCGATCTAGGCCCCCCTCCTCGAAATACACTCTTCTATACTCTCTCGCTCTCTCTCTCTCTCTCGCTCTCTCTCTCTGTCTCTTTCTCTGCCGCTGTCTCCATTACTGGGTTTTGACCCTACTCGAAACTCAATAAATGTGCTGTTGTTGTTTATATTATTAACACAACAAACAACCACTTAACTTTGTAAATCTGTCCAGCCATTTAGCTTTGGCTCTAAAAATAAACATCAAAGCAGAAGGCGCGACGTTTGCGTTGTCGATGGCCAAAAATAAATATTGAAAAACCTATTTTTAATGCCCGGCCAATCGGTCAATTGCACAAATTGAAGTACGCATCATGTTAATTGGCGTCTCAGCATCTCGAAGCCCCACACGTGTCCATTGATCGTACGTTTCTGGCTCAAATTAGATCCACTTGGCCGCTTTGATTGACTCGGACGCGAACGCGGACTCGGACTCGGACGCGGACTTCAATTGGGCGATTGGCACAGCTAATGGAAGTTTATCGCTGAGCAATTGAGTTGTGATTTATTTTGGGCACATTCTGGCACTACAGAGTGTGCGCTGAAAGGTATTCAATTATCTAACTATATAAATAAAAATGTTTGCTAACTGATTGAGTCCAAGCCGTTAGAGCTAGGAGGCTGAAATTTGCATGGTTATCTTTTGAGTGGGGAAATATCAAAAAGCAACTGTAGAAAACTAATTCCAACTAATTTTCACAAATATCCACCATAAAATGTGATTTGTTACATGACGCGGAAAATAAGTGAAAAGGAGGGAACGATAATTTATAGAAATAAACTTGAACCAGACAAGGCCGGGTAATACCCCATACATATTGTTCATTTGTACGCATTTAATCATGATTATTAATTATAGAATATAATTATGCTTAACAATTTGCTTACACAATTGGCGTTAATAAACATAACAAAATTGTTGCAGTACAAGGCAATGGCAACGGTAATTGTCAGCGCTGTTGTTTCTGCCTTGCAGTTCATAAATCAGGCAAAAGTATCTGACAGATACAAATGGCATATGGCCGGGGCCGAGAGCGGGACAGAGAGAGCGGCGCGGCGCAACGACGACGACAAGCGCAGAGTCGCTTAATGATTGCAACGTTTACGTTCATTTACACTTCATCAATTGCGTAGTTTGCCGTCCCAGCAACAACGACAACAACAACGACTGACAACAACAACAACAATAACAGAGGGCAACAACTTGAAAATTGCGCGAAATGAAAAACTACGCAATGAAAATGTCATCGCACCTCAACATGCAACCGAGTTTAATCAGCGCAAAACTGCGCCAATAGTCGATCTACATATTTCCGATCCGAAAACCAATAGCGCAGTTTTGGGCTAACTTATAAATAGCCCGCCATAACTAACAATTTACTAAAGCTAATGCGTAATTCGAACGGCGCATTTAGTTTAATGAAAATCGAATCGGTTATCGGTGAAGTGGAATATTATTATGTATTGAAGTATTGCATGTTATTGCAAATAAATCGTTTGAACAACTTTGGAAAAATAAAAGAAAAAAGTAAAAATAATCAATCGCATCAAAAATAAACCAGTTTCTAATCTTTAATCTAATTTAAAAAAATTGTTTGTATATATTGAAAAACAATTATCTGTGGCAGCTATATGATAAAGTCTGTTATTAAAAGTAATATGACTTAATGTTAGAGTAGTTGTCGCTTATTAAACGTAATAACAGAGTGCAATAGACATATATTTATTTATATATTCATGTCATATCAGCTGAACGGGAAGAGCTTAGCCAAAGTATTGGGGAGACCTTTTACAGTCATTGATTTGATAAATATCCTACTTAGCTCCCAAAACACTTGGGTTGCTTTTACCCACATGGCTAAGATTCGAATTGTGAGGAAATACCTAGAGATCGATGCCGGTTTTAGACCTTAAAAGTTCAATTATATCATCATATATATATCATAACACATAGCTGACACAGAAATATTCGAGTTGTCGAAGCATTAATATTTTTTTATACGAATCTTTAAAAGTCTTTAATATATAGATTATATTTCCGATATATATATATATGCTTTGGCTCTTAAGGCTACTCAACTGTTAATCTATTTTTGAGGCGTATACTCTTATATCAAGTGTATTGATATTTTACTCTAGGCTATCTGGCAAAATAAAAGAAAACTCTTTTATTTTAAACAAAAGTTACTAAGTATGATAAGTAAAAGATAGTCTTATCCAATTTCTATATACATATATGCTGCCTGCAATAATTGGAACTTATAATATATGTATATCCTCTTTGAAGAACTTTCGAAATGAGCTATTTATTTGATCGAAAGTTGTGATTTGAAAATTATTATAATATAATTGAAAGCTTATAGGCTAGTTGGCCTAGGAAAATACATAACATTTTCCTCTTATTTTCGTTTGCAACGTTAATTCTATTTAATTTTGTTTTTGTTTATATTCTCGCCGACTATTTAATATCGATATTAAAGCTATTTGCCACACATAAACATATGTATGTATGTCTATAGCTGCAATATTTTCATTGGCTTCCATCAATTTGTTTATTTTCGTCGCTGGTCAGCCGGCTGCAATTTGAGATCTCATCTCAACTTATCCCATCTTGCTTTGTTATTTTTGTATATTCAAGTGATTATATTGCCAATTAGTTGAACGTTAATTAGCCGCATAGACAATATTTGCATGGTTCTTCTGTTTAGTTTAATTACAATAATAATTTGGAGGCTACCAATTGCGACTTATTCGAACAACATGGCACAACATTATGAAAGCAAAATGCGTTCGCTTCTACCCGAATCGGCCCCAGTGCCTGCCCCCGGTCTCAGTGCCCCCCCCTGCCAACAGTTTTAGACGCAGCCCCAACACGCAATTTGCTTTCATAATGCGCATTTGGCGAGCGGGGCGCCAGGCATACACACACACACAAGATTAGACAAAAGCTAATGGCAATGCATATGGCCTGATATATGCATGACCCTCCATATATACATATATATAGACATACATATATATATGTATATACGGCTGATGAGTGTGAAAGTCAAAATGGGTCATTAGATAAGCTGCCGACTATGCGTATTCACGTGCAGAGCATATTGTGAATGATTTATGACTGACAGGTCGCGAATATCTTAGAGGCTAATGTCCCGGCTCCCGATATCGGTTGCCAGCTCTATAGCTATGCTAATGCCCACACATAAATCAGTTGCACTTGCTGCAATTACGTACGGCTGGGCACTGGGTGTAAATCTTGTCAGTCAATCAGTTTTAATGGCCGCCCGCACTGGTGTTTACACCTGAATTCAAGGCGTAACCTGACCATATCAGCTGCAATTGCTGCAATTCGAATTGTTGATAAACATAAACAGAACAAGCCAAAAGCAAGCCACAAGAAAGAGAACTAAATATACATTGGACTCAGTTCCCAGTAAATGGCCAACGACGATTCGACGTTGCACGAATTCGCTTATCAGCGAATGCGAGCCAGCGATTAAATTGGCAATTACGAGGTATATATCGCCACATCGGCGCCTCGCACGTGACCAGTTTCAAGTTCAGCGCCGCATAATTTTACGATTGTCGTCGTTATAAAAGCCAAGAGACTGACGGGTACGCAACACGCCGCGCACCACCACAATCAACCCAACACGCACCCACCGCCCAATGGCCCACCTTGACAGCGATATTCTTATCTAATGCCTGCCAGTTTGCACCGACTCACTCAATCTCCCTCTCTCTCTCTCTCTCTCTCTCTCACTCTCTATCGCCCTCTCTCTCACTTTGTCTCTGTCTGCACGCGCCACACGCGTTACGCGATGCTCTACGGAACGACAAATTGACGGACAACCGACTTCGGGATTATGGAACTAAATCTAAACTAAACAAAACTGAACTTGGCTGCTGCGTGTGTCAAGGACAGACTCCGGCTCCAGCCAAGAGCAGCTGCCAGATTACATAACCAAAGCGAAGGTTTGATTTTACAAGGTTAATATATTTAGAGCAAAATATAATATAAATATTATTTATGAGTAACAGCAAAAGCAGCAGGAGAGCCATGCATTAGCCAAGTTCTTGAGAAAACTGTGGTTGTGCGGTTAGCTAAACCCGAGCAGTTTGTCTAATTATAGTTTAAAAAGCGAAAGTTTCTTAAGATTTTAATGGATGGTAACTGAACTCTAACAATACATAAATTTTGGCTATACTATTATTATCATATATTAATTATTGTTCATTAATTAAACTATATTATTATTATTATATATTAATTATTGTTTAATATTAATATATTTATTATTGTCATTATTATTATTATTTTTATTATTATCATTATTATTATTTTATATTTTTTTCCTCATTAATATATTTATTATTATCATTTTTATTATTATTATTAACATTATTATTTTTAAACTTCTTATATTATTATTATTATTCTCATTATCATTATCAATTTTATTACTATTATTATTACCAATTTTTATTATTATTATTTTTACCTAACTTTTCAAATAGCTCTGGCAACTATGCTCTTCGTTTAAGACAACAATACATCCAAAAGCTTTCCTAGAATTTGAACCCTGATCCTGGTTGGCTCAATGTGACATTTATAGAGGTATTGGATAAATTTATATTTATATATTATTTAAGTGTTCTTGCGAATGCTTTCTAATAATAAGAATACTCACGATGGCTTCTTACTATGCTAGCTTACTAGTTTTGCTTTTTTTTTTAACAGATGAGTTCCAGCACTCAAAAATATCATTGTGCTGACTGAAAAGCAATAAACATATTGTTAGCTGCCGTTTTTCTATCAATGATTTACTGATTTTCAATCAAACCAGACACAAAAGTGTGACCGCATTTTCAATAATTTTCCAGCTAAGCTAGCAAGTTAGCAGCCAGCTTGAATATCCCTATCCAATTGTTTTCCAGTATTAGAAGATTAAGCAAACTCATCTAGGAAGTGAAGCGCCTTATTTTACACCTGGTAGCGCACAGTAATATTCGTAATTATAAGCAATTCCATGGAAATATGTTCAGAATCATATTCAATCTGATCAGCAAGTTGTCACAGCGAAAACTCCCCGCATCAGAACGTAAACCCTTATCGCGAGGTGCTCTTTAAAGAAAACCCCCGCAGTGTAAACAATCAATCGAATGATTTTGCGAAAAAAAAAACAAAGAATAATAACAAAAACATTTCAAGCGCCGTATTTCACAATGATTGTGTTTTCCGTGGCCGTTTAGGTTTTTATTGATCACTTGATTTATGTGGAAATTTTCGATGATATTTTTAACTTGGCTGATGAATTTTCTATTTCGGTTTCGATTTCGATTGCGGCGACGGCAGCGATTGGCATCGGCGACGGCGGCGGCGATTGTTTGTGCTTTTATTTATTTTATTATTATTATTTTTTTGTTTTTGGTTATTTTGGGAAGCGTTTCATAAAACGGCATTAAATGGAATTAAGGCTGCCACACACGCGCTTTTGATGTTGTCGTTTTTCCATTGAAGTGCTGCCGAATTTATGCCGGCTCGCAGCTACGTGTCGCCCCGGATGACACAGGTGCGCAACTGCAATGTTTACCTGTGACTTAAACAAATGATATTCGAAACGGAAATGCCGCCCGCGCCGTCGCCGTCGCCCTTGACTTGCTACATTTAGCGACCACCTGCACCCTGTGCTCCGCCGCCAGCACCGCCACCAAAACTTAGACCCGCTCCGGCACCCGCGCCACCCTTTGCTCCGGCGTCTCCAGCTTGTCCATCGCCGCCAGCGCCACCGCCAGCCCCAGCCCCAGCCCCAGCGCCAGCGCCTATTGCCATGCCCGATTGAGCGGCACCTCCAACATCACTTGGTCCTGGCTCCTGCGCCTGTGTTGTACACTGCACAAAATTTAAATGGAATTAGAGCTTTGGAATTAACACTCCTGCGGAGCAGCACACAGACCAGCAGCAGCGACAGCGTGGCCCAAGCCAAAACTGAGAAGTAGACTTTCATGGTACGCCGGGCTTACAATTGAAATCAACTATGAAGCTTTTGGCACAGGTTGATCGGCATTATATAGCAAATAATATCCAAGGTTGAGGCAAATTCCGTACATCCAGAATGCGCTTGTAAGATGCGTATCTGAGCAGCGCTAGCTAAACAACATTCCTCCCACAATTCAAGTATTCGGATCGAAATCGCTGCTCCTAATTAAATTCAAAATACATTGAATAACATTTCCAGGCGCGATATCATCGCGAAACGTGAACATCATTTGATTAGCTCGTGCACAACATTGTTGCTAATTGTATTGTATTTTCGTTTGATTATTTATTAAACAAATGAGAATGTTTCAGTCGAGTGCGAACGACGGCGTAATACCTGTTCGATAAGAGCTTTAAACTAGCCTACCTCAACTAGTTTTAGCAGGGAAATTACACGTCGTTGCCCCACAGTCAAATGAATATTGCTAACAAAGTAATTAGTACCAAGATAGTTTACATAACTTCTGCCAATTTTCTGTAGGTTCGATCCATAAGCTTCGTGCTATATCTAAACAGATAAATATTTTATATTATAGATAGCCCAACATACTCCAAACTTTATCTGACTCGGACATACACGAATAGAGGTTGCAATTGTTGTTACAAAAACCAATATACCCTTTTCACTTCGAGTTGTCAAAGTATAATTATGGGTTGACAATCGTCTAATTGGCGCCCGCTAGACGGCTTGCATGTTTTGGCGAGACCAATTATAAATTAATATAGCCTATGTCAATCAGCCAAACCCAAAGTCAATATCTGGCCCTGTCAAGAGTGAACATTGCTCACGATGTTGCTGTTGTTGTTTCCTTATTGTTATTATGCAACATTGCTAAAACATCAAATCAAATAGAAACAAATCGAAATGCGTTTCGCTTAGCAACAGTCTAGAGATAAAGGAACACACAAAATTATTGCAAATGCGCGCTGCTCACATTTGAATACCCTTGGCAAAACTGTGTACTTTCATCTTGAATTACTTGAGAGATTTCTTAATAATATTAAGTTTTTCTTAATAATATTGCCGGCCCTTGATAGCTTTAATAGCTTTTGCGAAGCCTTTCCAAACTTAAAAGGACTTTGTAAATAACCTTCCCGAACTTCCAAGGTTGATAAATTTGTCAAAACTTTGGCCCAACATTCAGATGCATGATGAATGAACACAAAAATTGATATGATTATAAAATTGAATCAATGTAGAAATTGATATGACATTTATATTTTAATATATATATGATGTACACCCATCTTTTCGTAAACATTTATAAATTTGTTTTTAAATTTAAAATTTCAATTATTTTTAAATTATTGTCAATATAAGTATCAAAACTTCTCAAAATTTTATGTTTCACTGTCAAAATGAGTATAAAAAATATATATCATAATTTTATTGTCAAAATTTGTATATAACTCCAAGGTAAAAATATAAAAAGATTTTGAGGTGGTCAATTGTTCTGTACAAAATCATGACAATAATTTTTGACTTTTAAGGTTAGGTTGGGCTAGGCTTATGACCAGTAAATACCCTTCCTTGACACCAAATTTCCATAGCTTGATTAAAACTGAAATTTTTTTGACATTTTGGCCATGGTTAGTTCCTTAGATTGCATATCAAACCAAATAAAATATATTAATTTTAACAAATATTTTTTAGAAAACTTTCTTCTAAGTAATATATATATTTTAGACATTTTTGTAACATTCTTGAATTATTCTTTTGAATTATATTGAGATGCTACTCGAAAAAAGATTTTATTGGTCAACAGACTAAAATCATAAAACAACTGAAGTTCCAAAGATCTCAAAATCGAATCCTTTTTAATGCGGCATGCAGAGAGCCCATTCTGAAGCATTGTAGAGTATCAGACAGCACAGAATTACCCCCCTGTAAGGGCATAAGAACAATGCAAGGCTAAGACACTTCCGACTAATCGATGATCAGTTAGTCAGTCATCAAGTTTAATTAAAATAATTGAGTTAGTGCAGCTGCTGCAAGCAGCTACTGTAGCTGCATCATTTTCTAAATTGCACTGGGGAACAACAGCAATAAAGGTAAACAAAACAATTACATTAAACAATCATACCCACAGATACACACAAATACAAGCGCAAACACACACACGTGTGTGCGAATTATATATATATATGTATGCATATAATCCAATGATATTTCGAGTTAATTTGTTTATTTGCATGGCGCAGCGACTGGCTGCAACAATTGTTGCTGTTGTTGCTATCGGTGGCAATCATTAAAATTTAAACAAATAAATAAATAAGCCACATGCCAATTTGGCCAAATGCAGCTGCCAATGTTTCACATTGAATTACCAGCAACTCAATGGCTTTGCTCACTTTGTCCATATTATTTTATTTTAATTTACCCTTGCCGAGAGTATTAAGATTTTGTCATGCATTGTGTAACGCATGAAAGGAGACGCCTTCGATTCCCTTTGATTGATTCGTATCACCAGCCGAGTCAATAATTCTTGTATGAAATCTCTCTCTCTCCTTCTAAGCCTCTGTTTCTCTCTGTCTTTCTCTCTCTCTATTTTCCTGTCTCTATCACATAGAAAGAGATGCCTTCGTTTCCTTTTGATTCTCACTCTCTCTCTCTTTCGCTCTCACACTCTCTCTCCCTCTCCCTCTACCTCGCTCTCTTTTCCGTCTCTCTTACTATCACTTTCTATTATTTTCTTTCTTTGTTATCTGCGCTCTCAATCGCGCTAGCTTACAATATTTATTTTATTTCCACTCTCGAACGCTGGTCCCGATCGCCTTTCTATGCGATTCTCAACAACCACAAACTGGCTTAAAGTGGTAAACAAACATGTAAAAGGGTGTTCACACTTCGGCGTGTCACGAACACATTTCTTATTTTATTTTATTTTATTTCATTTTATTTCGCCGCAATTTATTTATTTACATCGCTGCCCGGCGACTTTTATTAGGCATTGTTATTATTATTATTGTGATTGTTATTGTTGTTGTTGTTTATGTTTTACGATAATTTCGCCATCGGCTGCCGCTTCACTGTCTGTGGGTGGCCACAATAATGTCAGTAATCGGCGATTATCACGTAGCCCCCGGCCAAATATCAATACCAATAATATCAATCGCAGTCAAATTCAGTCTGACAGGCCCAAAACAAGGGAGGCAAAAACCAAAACAAAAAAAAAATCAAATAAAAACGCAGTTCAGGCAGTAAATCTCATTAAAATTTAAATCAAAATTAAATGTTCATCAAATGCAATAAAAATCATTGCGCGTATAATTTTTAAATTTGCTTTTACCACCTCACTGAAACGAGGCGCGTCCCAGCGCGGGCGACATCAACATGAAATTGGAGCTGGCTGTTAGAGATGAGGAAGTACATATATGAGATGCGAATATGGGCCATAACTACGCTACAGCTCGAATGTGTTTATAGACTGCACTTTTATAGTTTTTATAGCTTTGTTTTGACATTAACACAGCTTAAATATCCCATTTCATATATACATATATATATACATATATATATGCTAACAGTCATACTTTATAAATGCGCTTTCGTTGCGAGTGCAGTGACTGTAACCATTTTATTTTATTTTATTTTAAAATATCATAAAAATCAGTAAGCCCTACTTGAGATCATGAAAATCGCATAGAAAGGCGATATTTGGCAGCAAGTGAGAGCTAGAGTAAAATAACGACCGTTAAATTAAGACCAGAAAAAGAAGAAGTAGAAAAATACATTTAGTGGAAAGCTAAATGAAAGCCACGGTTCAGTGGAAGAGAGCATGCTAATAAAAGAAAGAAAGAGAGAGAAATCCAATAATAGAAAACAAAGAGATGGACAAAGGGATCACGTTAAAGAGAGAGCACAAGCCAACAATTTGAGTAACCTTTGAGAACAAGCACTTAAAACATATTTGTGAATATGAAGAAATATGTGCAAACAAATTGCAGTTTTAATTGAAAGTTCAGTTTCAGCCAAACAAACAGTTTGAAGGCAAAATGCGTGTGTGTGTGTGTGTGTATTTGAGTGTGCTGTTTGTCAATTGGTAATTTGCAGGCACTGCGGACAATTTGAAATGTTGCAGTTGAATTTGAATGAAATTTCAATTTGGTCAGT